ACAGTGCATTCTCCATAACGGGCACAAGGAAAAAGACATCTGAGATGCAGGCACATTTTCCAATGATCATTTCATGTTTGAAAAGCAAACACACTAACAAATGTTTTTCAGACCTCAGAAAGCAAAGCTCACAAATCTTGGCTTTGGGGACACCCAAAAGATGCGGCGATCCTCAGCTCGGGCCACGGACAGATATGTGGGTGTGGGAGTGCATTTGCACATTTTGTCAGCAGGGGGCATAGATTGCAAAACGGCCACAGGTCCTGCCAGGTCAGGAAGGCTATTCTGGGTGCCCAAGGGAGAGGGGGAATGACCTCCTGTGACTGTTTCACAGAACTGGGCCTAGTTCCTTTGGGGCAAAGGTTGCAGACGGGAAGCCTGCAGGCCGCATTGGTGAGAAGATGGGTTTGCTTGCCCCCAGCCTGTGTTTGAGCCATCTGGAATCAGTTGACAACATTTAAAACTGGGGAACTGCACGTGCCAATCCAGATTTGGAGCTTCTCTCTAAACCCCGGCTAGGCCTGCATTGCCTGCTGGTGAAGCTGCATAGAGGTTGCCCCTCTCTGCTTTGCCACAGTCTCCACCTCTCCCTTTTGCCTCTCCCTGGCCTGCTGTGCTGGCTGATAAGATTATGCCCCCAGATTCAGGTCAGCCTTTCTGTGGTTTGGTCTCTGCTTCCTTGAAGAAGCCAAAGCTTTTCATCGGAGAGCCGGCTGTTCCTACCTCCTACATCACTGCTCCAAGGCCAACTTTCCCACTTACCTCTCCAGTCAAGAGACAGAGCTTCATATTCAAGAGCAAACGCGCATTTTGAGTAGCCTGAGAAGCCCCAGATGAAATTCTTTACCCTCAGCTCTGCTGACTGAATTTATCAATATGCATAATGCTTGTACTTGTTCCTGGATGGGCTGTTCTGCCTCTTGACTCTTTATAAGTTTGGGATTTAATTTTGAAAAACCAAAGAGCACTACAGAACAATTTAAATAAAAGCACACGTCTTCCACTGACATTCTGTGAAACTGACTTGAATTGCTTGGTGCCGAGTTTTCTCCTTTCTTGGGGTTTTTGCCTTTTAAAAAACAATTTTTCTTGAGCCCTTCCTGGCTGGTGTGGCTCAGTTAGTTGGGGCATCGTCCCATGCACTGAAGGGTTGTGGGTTCACTTCTGGGTCAGGGCACATGCCTAGGTTGTGGGTTTGGTCCCTGGTTGGGGAGCATACGGGAGGCAACTGATCGATGTTTCTCACATTCATGTCCCTCCCTCCCTCCTTTCTTCCGAATCAATAGGCATGTCCTCGGGTGAGGATTGGAAGGGAAAAAAAATCTTTAAAAAGTATTTTTTCGATTCCAGTTGACATACAATATTATATTAGTTTCAGGTGTACTGCACAGCGGTTAGACATGTATGTAACTTATAGAGAGATCACTCTGATAAGTCTAGTACTCACCTGACACCATACACAGTTATTACAATATTATGACTATACTAGAGGCCCGGTGCACAAATTCGTGCACGGGTGGGGTCCCTCCGGGTGGCTGCAGGGATCAGGCCAAAACCCGCAGTCCCACACCGCCTGCAGCTCCTGCCTGTCGCTCCCGCTCATCCTGGCCTCACTGTGCCTGCCGAGGGCTCTCGCCCAATCAGTCCCAGTCAGGAGAGGCTCGCACTGCCGCGCTCACCTGCAGCTCCTGCCTGTTGCTCCCGCTCATCCTGGCCTTACTGTGCCTGCTGTGGGCTTGTGCCCAATCAGGAGAGGCTCGCACTGCTGCAGCAGTGCTCACCAACCATAAGCCCTGCGTCTGGTGCCCTCCCAAGGGGAGTGGCCTGCGGGATCGGGCTGAAACAGGCTCTCCGACAACCCCTGACGTCCCGGATTGCAAGAGGTTGCAGGCCAGGATGAGGGACCCCACCGATGCACGATCAGGCCGGCGAGGGACTGCAGGAGGGCTCCAGGGCATGTCCGGCCCGTCTCACTCAGTCCGGATTGAACAGACCCCAGCAGCAAGCTAACCTACCAGTTGGAGCATCTGCCCCCTGGTGGTCAGTGCACGTCATAGCGAGCAGTTGAGCCCCCTTAGCATATCATTAGCATATTACTAATATTACTTTGATTGGTTGTTCAGTTGTTCTGCCGTTTGGTCTATTTGCATATTACCCTTTTATTATATAGGATTATATAGGATTCCCTAGGCTGTATTTTATACCCCTGTGACTACTATAACTGGCAATTTGTATTTCTTAAT